AGGGGGGGGTTCCCCCGGGGGAAAACCCCCCCCCCAAAAATAAACCCGGGGCCCCCCCCCCCCCCCCCCCCCCCGCCAACGCATGCCCGTTTCGTCCCGTTGCAGGAGGTGGTTAGCCAGGACTTCGTTCACGACTCCCGCTCCTCTGTTTTCGACTCCAAGGCTGGCATCATGCTCAACCCGACCTTCGTCAAAATCATCTCCTGGTACGATAACGAGTGGGGCTACAGCAACAGGCTCGTAGACCTCATGCTGCACGTTGCCAAGGTGGAGAGCTCCTGATTCAGTCAGCGGAGCCCCCAATGATCCGTTCCGCGGAGCCCCGTGATCCGTTCCGCGACGGAGGCGCCGGTCGACGGTTTTTTTGCTTGTCCCAAATCGAGACCCGGTACGGTGTAGCTAGCATTTCCCCACTCGCAACGGTGGCGGTCTGATTGTTATCGTTTTTCGTATGCATACGGCACGTGTTTCCCGGTACTGTAGAGGTGGGACGGGACGGACCCGTGGCGGCAAAGAGTAGTTTGGTGGGATGGAATAGGATTAACACGGGGATGGTATGCATAGGCATATCGGTGAATCAGGCAGAACGTCATGCCGTGCTTCCTTGGACGAAGCGTTGCAAATTTTGGATGGTGGCGGGACATCAAACGCCGCGCACGTAGTATAGTGGTTTCTGCGACGTACTTTCAGTTGAGTGGAGGGTCACAACTGCTGTCCCCCGCAGCTACGTTGTCCTTACGATTCGTCGCCCACGGCTGACGAGCGTTTCGCGAACGTTCTCTGCTGGTCTGGTGTACTCCGATTGGTCTTGGACGGGAGAGAGGAGGCGAGTCTTTGGTGCGTTGGTATCGTGAGAGAGGCTCGAGTGACAGCATTGAGTGCCGTACGATGTACGTAGTAAACAGACTTGATTGCTGGCGTCACTTGTTCCTCTGTGTATTGTTTTTTAAGTTTTTGGAGAAAAAAAACACATTTTCCCGCGCCTAAGCGTCCGCAACAGGGCCTCGCTGTTGCTTCAGCAGGCCAGGCCGTGGCATTAGTTTGTGTCGTTATATACGCCAAGCAGCTCCAGCACTGCGGCCGCCGTTCGTTCGTGCCATCGCCATCAAGTCATCATGCACGGCGAGGCACTGACCCTCGCACCCTGAGCACAAGCCGCCATCGACAGCCAGCCGCGCTTCACTACAGCACTACAATCTCTTTCGACGTTCGATATAAAGTTGTGTGTGTCCGCGAAATTCGTGTTGTCCATCTTTCTGACTTGAGAAAAGAGTACAGGATAGTAGAAAGAAAGGTGTGCCAGCGCTGCTTGGCGGCCATAACGGAAGCGAGGCAACAACCACAGACATTTCTCACTGGAACACACCGCGAGATAGACCCCGTGTGTGCGATTTTTGCACAACAAACTTTACCGTCCCCAAAATTGGCTCTGTGCGTGTTCCTGTCGCCCCTCCCCCGCCGTCCCCAAAACTAGATATGGCTGTTCTAAATTATGCATCAAATCAAGTATCATCCCTGCATCGTAGAACTTCCATCTCCTAATCCCCTGATCTCATCATGCTTCATTGCAGATGGTGAAGCACACACATGTATCCGTACCCGAGAGCATTGTATTACAAAGACAGCAACGCATGTTATAGACTATGCCTGCATCCCTCCTGATGATGACGATAAATGACGTACATCGTGACGACAACCCAAAACCAACCCAACACAAACTAAACGCAAAATCGTTCATCTTCCACATCAAGCATGAGTCACACATTTGACATATCACATTGACATGTTGGCAAACCAAACAGACTACAGCTGTTGAAACCTCGATGCTTTGAAGGTGCGTGCGGTCTTCTTGCTCCCACAGCCAGTTCATGTTGCAAGCACCCCATGAGGCAAGAGAGGTGTGGAGCAATACAACAACAAACAACTACTTCCGAGTATAATTAAAGGCTGCTGTGTCACTCCAGCTGGTATACGCCAAACACATCGACTAGAAGACCGAAGGCGTCTAGACTGGCACCAGACAATATTTCAATGTCAAGACACCAACAGTAACAACAACAACAACAACCACCAGAAAAGATTACGCGCAACACAGGCAGTTTTCAGGAAATCTCGTTCGTCCCTCACTGGCCAAGACAACTCCCCCCCCCCCCCAAGTAACTTGACAAACGATGTCTTGATACACAGACAGAATAGAGCACAGACAGGCCTAAACCAACCAAGACACGGATGTACTGCGTACCGTTGGTTGCCGGGGTGGCAACTATTTCGTTTACCCGGACCCCTACCTTACAAAATGAAGGGAAATATCATTTCCTAACACGACGCGTCATTTTTGAATGGCGAGCCGGTCCTTAGATGCCATAGACCAAGACAAACCAAGGTGGGCAAGGCCCGGAAACAAAGCTTTCCGCAAAAGGCGCTTGCTTCCGGTCATAGAACATTAATAATAGAACATCCCACCCCACAGAGGTACGGACAGAAAGCATTCTGCTTTGAAACAAACACCGTCTGCATATTTCTTCTCGGGAAAGTTGCTGTCATAAAGCTTCCGACTTTTAGTGCCCCCCCCCCCCC